GCGAGCCACATGCGGCTCTTTGGCCCCTTGAGTGTGGCCACGAAGTTTCAATCGCACTGTACGTGCGCGCCTGCACGTGGTATTTTGTGGAAGAGCCACACTCAAGGGGCCGCAGTTTGCCAACCACTGGTCTAGGAGAAGCTCGGAATAGGATGAAGGCTCTGCCAGCCCCCACCCTGCACCTGACTCTGTTCTGTGGCTCTCAGTCTGTAGAGCCACTTGCTGGGGGATAGAACCCTGAGGGCTTGGGCTGAGCAGACCCAGAAGAAGCTGGGGCAGCAGGAGGGCTCTAATTGTCTGTCCCATTGGTGAGTCAGTCCCTGTGGGCTTCTGGGTGACCATGGGGCAAAGACACACCCTTTGTTTTGGGCTCATTAGCTGAGTGACTCAAGACAAGGCCATCCTCCCTGGGGCTCCTTCTCTCCACCTGTAACCTGTGGAGGTAAGGGAAGTGGACGTCAAGCAGAGAAGTATGAGGGTACCTGAAATCAGCCTCCCGGGGTGTTGTTGAGTGACTAACTGCCTAAACAAGCAGGTGGAAGCATTAAAGGGAGGAAGGCAAGGGGCTCCTCCACGGTGCTCTTCGAGGAGGATTTCTGAGCTTCACCGTCCTTCTCTGCCCTCACCAGGCAATCTGGGAGGAGCCCTTGGCCTCTCCAGCTAGGAAAGGAGCAAATCTGCATGCCCTGTGGATCGTGGCAGCTCAGAAAGGGGCTCAGGGGGTCCCTGGAGAGAGCAAGGCTTGGCACTAGGTCTGAATTAGCTCAGCAAGAGCCCCCTCCCTGCAGCCGCAGGTGTCCACTCCAGCCGCAGCTGTGGCCATGCCTAGGCCTGCCTTCCCCACCCGACTGGGTGCTAGCAGGTCCCTGGTTTTAACTGTCGGCTGGGCTCCTGGGATCAAGAGTGGCTCCCAATTTAGCTGTCACTGCCGGGTGGGTGGCTCTCGAAGGATCTGCATTTCTTGCAGGAATGGGGGAGGGGAATGAATCAAGTGCTGAGGCCTTGGGCACAGCCTGGGGACCCCGCTTTCCTGAGATCTGCCCCTGCACCAAACTTTGGGTCCTTAGGGACCAGAAGCCTCCTACTCATCCCTGGCCCAGGCTTGTGCCCAGACAGAAGCTGCCAAACTGGCTGCCCCCTCTAGGAGAACAACCTGAGCCCATCTGCTGGTGATCACTAGGGAGCCCTAGACACTTACCCCTCCCTCTGGAAGCAAGAAGAAGGGGCAGGTCCAGCCCTAAGAGCCAGGAGCCAGCACTGCATGTCCACACAGCCCGAGTCTCCTCATCCTGGTGACCGAACATGAGCGCTCCGGGCCCAGAAGGTGGGCGTGGTGAGGGCCACCACTGTGCAATGCACATGCCCCATCAACAATCCCCAGCAGCCCCTCAGAGGTGGGAAGTGCACGTGGCCAGACTGGGGGCCTGCCCAACACAGCTGACTCTAGGACGCCATCTTTTGGGAGGAGGCCTTTGCTTGGTGTGGAGGTAGGAGGGTTATAGAGATGGGCAGGCCCAGTGGAATTCTTATTGGGGATGCTGCCAGGGGTCCAGCTGTTGGCCCCTTCCCTATGCTGGGCCGAGGTTGGAGTGGTGGGGGGCTTCTGGAGGAAGCAGTGGCTATGGGCAAATAAAGTCCTGGGAGGGGCTGCCAGGATGTGGGTCTACCTAAACTCCCTTGACCTCAATTTTCTTGTCTGTAAAATGGGTAGCGGTATCTTCACGACAGGACAGAATAGGTCAATGCACTTAGCAGGCCTGGCACAGGGTTCTCTCGGGCCTCAGGCAGGCAGCCACCCTCCATAGTAAGAGCAGATGGCAGCTGGTGCACCCCCAGCTCCCTGGCACTGGGACCACATTCCCATCTGCCCACTCCAAGTGTTGGGAAAGATTACATCGGAGCAGCACCTGGGCAGCAGGCACGGGTTTGCGGTATGACCTTTGAGCTTCCGCCTGGGTCTCTCCTTGCACTCTCCTGGGGATGGCTCAAAAGGTATGCAGACACCGTGTCTCACCTCCCCCCTCCTCCCTGGGAGGGCGTTGAGAAACTGGCTGGCCCAGGTACCCCAGCGGGCTGCTGGGGCAACGCCATCACAGGCCTGTCTCTCCAGGATGGGAACAAGGCTCCTGGAGCCGGTGGAAGCAGCGACCTTCCAAGGAAGTCAAACTGTGTCCCTGCCAGCTCAGGACTGGCCACAGCCAAAGGATCCCCTCGTCCTAGCTGGATGCTATGAGCTTGAGTGAAAATCTCAAACTCTCCCTGCAGGGCCCTGCATGGTCCTCTCAGGGCACAGGAGAGGTGGACAAATGAGGGACATTGACCAGCTGACCTCTCCCAGGAGGCATTGGTGTCTGCTTCATCCACACGCTGCTCAGAGCTCGGAGAGACCAAGGGGATGGGCTGAGGTCACACAGCTGGGAGGGCCCTTCAATGCTTGACGTGCTACCATGGAGAGTGGCCCTGGGGACCAGAGGGTGGGAATGAGGCAGTGCCAGACCTCATTGGAGGGGTGGGCAAGCTTCTAGGAGGTTGTGTCTCACGTGTAATGGGTCTGAGGGGGCAATTCAGGCAGAAGCCCAGAGCCGGCAAGGAGTGATAAGGATCAGCCTAGAGAGCAGTCTCCAGCCCACGCCTGCTCCTGGGCCTCAGGGGCATGTGTCCGGAAAGCCTGGGGAACACAGATCAATGAGGCCCAAATGGTCTGTCATCTCCGCCCCCATGCAGGGCCGCCCGGGAACTGACGGGTGTAGACTACACTACAGGGGCAGTGCTCCACCAGGCTCTTCCCACGGGATCTCTCTGGGCTTGATCCCTAGGACTGGCTGTGCCCCTGACTAAAGGCTGCAGCCTCTCTCAAGCCATCCCGACTGGTTCCTCGGCAGCTGTCACATGCCTTCCCTAGCTGCCCACCCAGGGAGCACGCTGTCCCTCACGCTGTCCTGCACCTGCCCACACCCTGTAAATGTGCCTTCGCAAACCCTCCCCACGTCTCCAGCCTGAGCAGTGAGCCATGCCCTGCTGGAGGCAGACTGGCCTGTCACCCAGCCCTGCTCAGCTCCCCCTCTGCCTGGCCTGAGCCCTGCCTCAGGGCAGGCCCACACCTACCTACCCCAGCCAACGCCTACAGCCAACATCCGGAGTCATCCAATGGGCTTCCAGCGAGGAGGGCGCTGGCCAAGGTGCTGACCAAGGGGCAAAGGACACTGGTCCCACAGCCCGCAGTGCCTGATTCCCACCCACAGACCTGTGGCAGCTGGGAAACCCAGGCCCCAGCCTAAGGTCGCCGGGAACATCTGGGTGAGGGGCTTCAGAAGTCTCTGGAGCTTTGAGCCTGGTTTTGAACTGGAAAGTAGAGCAATCCCACTCCAGCAAAGGGCTGCTGGGCTTCGGGGCTCCAGAATTTAGTGGAGGCGGGAAAGGGAGCGGGCCAAGCAGAGGCGCCTCTCCTCCCACCCCCGTCCTCAGGCCTCCAGACCAAGCCCTAAGCGGTGGCTGGCCACTTTGGGGACCCGCACACCCTGGCCAACCCGGGCC